TTTTTTTCTAGGATGTTCTGGACCAGGGATAACAAGGGAAAGAAAGATGTATTCTAGCCTACGATACGCGGATACTTCACAAAACTCGCGTACCAGTGTCAGATACCGTATCGGATACGGATACTCGGCGGATATGTCTGGATACGTATCCCGGACGTATCGGACAATTTAGCAATTTCCAAATAATAAAAATAAATCGGATACTCATGGGACACTTGTGCGATACCTTCAAACCCTAACACCACTCAATCGCTTCGTATTAAAAACCTCTGTTTAGCTGCGCCCCCTCTCATCCCCATTCGCGCAGCCGCAGCTGCCTCACGCACGACAGCCTGCTTGTAACAGAACCGACCAAATCATAAGAACGTAAGTATAAAAACAATCATCGAAGCGATCAAATTCCTGTACTTAAGCTCCCATAATCCCGGTAGTCCGGAAATCACGAAGGATTTCAACCAACTCTCGACATACAAACCAAGATCATAGTGATTCAACACAACACATCATCCGTTACAACATTTCATAAGTAGCATTCGGATTACATCCATCAGAGTTCAAATAAAATATTACAAACCAAGTTTAAATGCGCGGAAGCAACATAGTTTAGTACATAACTTCATAGTTTCAAATACATTGCCATTTCGAGTCATGTCCCACAAAAGCATTATCGATCGAGAACTAGTAGAGACCGCGCCCAACGGCCTAGTCTTCATCCCAATTTGGGAAGGCGTGCTTACGACAACCAAAGAAGAACTGGTCATCACACATTGTGGGAGATAAACCACGAGTACGAGAAGGTACTCGACTAGACTTACCCGACAAAACCGAAATAAAAGACACCAAGGATCATGCAAGGCTTTTCGGTGGGCTAGCTTGACACAGATTGCATAAAAGATCTTATGAGTATAGTAACCAATTTAAACTTATTATCAAGCTTATCATTATTTACACACACTAAATTAGCACCTGTACTAGAGCACTCACTTATTAGGAGCAAACAATATTAACCATAGCATGTATAATAAAATTGTCATCATCATATCATCATTTCCGAACCATTAAGTTATTAAGTGCATCTACATTGGAGATAAGCCCATCAAGTTCTCACTAACCGGGAGAGACGGCGACTCGAATCGAATTACAACTCAGGTGAGGGGTATTCCTAACTCTCACCACAGCATACTTTGCAAGGGTAGCCGTGGTCACCTTTGGAACATCTCGGGAACCAAATTAGTGGGTTCGATCAACGCCCGACCTCTCGAGGATTACCCTTACGCCGGGGACGATCGGGACTTTTAAATCACACGCCCTTGGACTCACGCCTCGACTCCTTCCGAGGCGCACTTTATACTTATCGACTCCGGCTGAGGTGAGCTACTCGGCCGTGACCGGTCTCGAGACCCGACCAACTAAGAGAGAGGCATCGTTCAACATGAACAGGAAAGGCTCAAGAATCAGTCCTTAAGTGACACGAGAAGAGTCATTGCAAACCGGCAAGCCTCCGTCCGGTCTTCATTTCAAATTAAAACTGGTTCTTTTCCACAATAGCAAATATAGCCAACCGTGCCACATGTATCTTCCTATATCTCGCAGGTGACAGGAAATCACCCGACTTCTACCGCGTTTAAGCAGGGCTAAGCACTACTCGAGCCTGAGCTACATAGGATTCAGGGTAACAATATCTGGACAAGGATTGGGTAACCAATGCAGCAATGGTTTGTATCCAACGCCTAAACTTAATGCAACAATATATATATGTAACAATAATACTGTAACTGCCTTTCAGAAATTAGGAGGCTTAATATGCTCCGGGGCTTGCCTTTCACAAAGTTGCAAGGACGGTGGTCCGGGCACTCAACGGCGACCTCGTCTGGCACTTCTCCTGAAGGCTGCTCCTCCTGAATTTCCGGTGTCGACTATTGCTGCTCGCTCGGTTCCTCGAATTCCAGCAGGGTTACTCCTTCCGGTACACCTATTGCATGCCGATGCAAAAGATAAATATCATGGATGCATAAGGAATGACATGATGCTCATGATGAATGAATCACAGTGAGTGTTTACGAAAGCATCACTGGACACTCGTTTACCGAGTAATTAGCTCTATTCAAATCACTTTTAAGCATGTATCTACTTAACTTAAAGAACAAGATCAACTTACCTAACTTGCATAACCTAAGATAAAGATGCTCATCTTCAGTTAAAGGCCTAACACCTAGGAACATTACCACAAACTTAGAAATAGTAAAGGCATACATAATTCAACATTTAAAGTTTCATATGCACCCAAATAGTCCCTTAATTCAATCACAACCAGAGTTCTACAAATCCAAATGACTTGCAAGAGGACATTCTGGAAAGCTTATGAAATTATCTACAATTCATTTGTAAACATCAAAGCATGATTCTTAAGTTAACCAAATCAAATTCCCGTAAACCTAGAATCTGTCCCGCAATGACAGGGTTGCTAACTTAATTATTTAATGATGATGCAAAAGCCTAATTTGACCAAACCAAGTTTACCAACTTGTTTTTCATACCTAAGAAACATCAGAAAGTATAGTGCCAACTTCTAAATAATTTATTTAATATCCTTTTCCAATTTATTTAGTTAATTAGGTGATTTAAGCAATATATAGTAAAATTATTCATAAAAATCTACAAAAATTACAGTAGCTATCTCATGCTGCACATAGACTACCATAAAAATTTCAAAGCCATTGGGCAAGTAAAACTTGCTGCATCTAAAATAATAGATGACATGTCTATTTCTAGCATAATTAGGAAACCTTATTAAAAAGTGTCAAGCAACAGATTTCCCATTTTTCCTAGCATCATTCTAGCATAAGAATAGCACTCATCAAATTTTACCTCCACTGGATCTATAGAAAAATTATGAAAATTCACACAAGATCCACCCATTAATAAAAGGAAATTCTATAACTTAAAAACTACACATGCACTAGCTCTGAAATTTTAACCAGAGCTTCTAATAAGCAATAATAGACTACCCACAAAATTTCATAATTTTTGGACCACAGAAACTCCAGATAAAATTCAAACAATTTTGCATGCATCTAAAAACACATTTCAAAGTCCTATTTAATTCATCAAAAATTTCTAAAACAAGTGCTCATATAATATTTTTGTTAAATACTAGACATGACCAGGAGCTTAACAAAATTGGAACCATAACATTTGGATCTATATACTAGGAAATACAGATTTTTGAATATCAATACAAATTTGTGAAATAATAAAACAAAACAAAATAAGGAAACAAAACTCAGCCACAGTTGGGCCGGCCCGAAGGAACAGCGGCCCGCGAACAACGCTGGCGTGGCCCAAGACGCGGCGCGGCCCACGCTGGTCTCCCGCCTCAGCCTCGGCGGCTGACAGCCGGGTCCCGCGTGACAGCGAGACAGGCAGGGGAGGAGAAGGAGACGGCGGCGAAGCTCGTCGCCGGTGACTTCTCCGGTGAAAGCAACAGTGCCAACAGTTTCGCCTCACCCCAGTGGACCTAGGGGAACCATCGATTGCAGCTAAGGACGCAACTAGAGGGGGTGGCTTCAAGACGCGGCTGGCCGTGCCAGGGCGCCCACGGCGCGTGGCCTGCGCGCTCAGGCGATCGGCGACGGGTGGCACCACGCGTCGAAGGTTTTCTGAAATGGTCGGCCATGTTCACTGAACGTTTTCTGAAAACGCGATTCAGAGCTCCACGACGGTGACTGACCGAGCGAGTTTGACGATGATTATCTCCTAAACCGTGACGATCTGGGTTAAGTTGTAGTTAACAAAGTTGGAGACCTACGTGATTACTACAAATTTGCTAATTGGAGCTCGAGCTAGTTTGGCTTGGTTAGGGAGATACAAGGTGACAAAGCTGGGTACATGAAACTGCAACACACATAAGAACTTAGAAAAATTTCTAAGTCTAAATCAGCATGTACTTCTGACTTGTGGGCCATGTTTGACCGTGTTCCACACATTTTCATGGGTTGGTCATAAAACAACTTTTGTTCCTTGATAAATTAGCTACAACTTTTGTAAAGAGTGCACAGCCATGCAAAGTCTCTAAGTTGGACTTTTGAATCAGTCAAACGATGACACTCCAAGGGTCAATTCAAGTCAAACTTGCACTTGAGGGCATTTTGGTCATTTTGATCTACATGAACAATGTCCCAACAAGTAACCTAAGTATAGTTAAGGTGTAATAGACCATGATCAACCACTTTACAAAATTGTTATACCACTTCTAATGATCACATGTGATACAGAAATTAAAACAAGCAATTCATACATATGTTTCAATACAATGTTTCACATGTTGCATGACCTTGTTGTTATCCTATACTTGTCCCATTACTACCATGTTGCCATGCTTCAAGATATGAGAAATTCATGTTGCATTCCTATGTTGCACTACTACCATTCACAAGCAATCCAGTACGAAACAAACAGAATATGCGAATGTTTCATATGTATGTTTCAGGGACCATGGCATGATGAGATAGATGATGCACATGTTTATGAAACGAAATGCAATTAGTAGAAGCCAAACACCTAGGGTGTTACACTGCTGCTCACCGCCGCCCAGCCACCTGCCGCCTAGAGCAGCGCCGCTTGTCACTCCCTTGCTGTCATCGCCGCCAGGCCACCCTCCTATGCCTCCTCCCGGCAACCTACTGCTCACCGCCGCCCGACCACCCACCGCCCGGAGCAGCGCCGCTCGTCACTCCCTTGCCATCACCGCTGCCAAGCCACCCGCCCGTGCTTCCTCCCAGCAGCCTGCTGCTCACCGCCGCCCGGAGCAGCGCCGCTCGTCACTCCCTTGCCGTCACCACCGCTAGGCCACCCGCCCGTGCCTCCTCCTGCTCCTTCCCCTTCCATGGTGAGTCCGACATTCCTCTGCTTCCTCCATGTCTGGTCCTTCCCTTCTCAAATCAATCTCCCCATGTGCTGATTCATCTGCTCTGTGTTTATTTCCCCTCGTCTCAGATCAAATGGCGACTAGTACGAATGCTTCTGCATCCACTCATAGTGGTGAAAGTGAAGAATTTCCTATTGCCAATAATCCTGCTATTGCAAATCGAGTCTTGGCTTCTGCTCGTGTGATTCCTGCAGACGATGATGACAAGAAGCCCCTGTGGAGGTATGTTCAGATTCTTGAGAAAACTGGAAAGGGTCAAGGGGCAACGCAAAGATGAGATGTAGACTTTGTAACAAGGGTTTCCAAGGAAGTTACTCTAGAGTTAAAGCACATCTGTTAAAGATTTCTGGTTTTGGGATTACATTTTGTCGAGTGGTGACTGTATATATCCTTGAACAACTGCAAGCTAGAGTTTCTGCTGCAAATGCTGCTGCCAGCAGGAACCTTCCTAGAGATATTCTACTTCCAACTGAGGGCAATGAGAAGATGAGGAAGAGGAGGGATGTTTCGGCTATTGAGTGTAGCTTCAATCTAGAAGTCCATAGCCAGCTTGATGAACTGATAGCTAGGATGTTCTACATAGCAGGCCTACCTTTTAATCTTGCACGTAACCCATATTTTAGGAAGGCTTTCATGTTTGCTGCCAATCATCCAATTGGAGGATATGTCCCTCCAAGCTACAACAAGCTGAGGACAACTCTTCTTGTGCAAGAGAAGACAAATGTTGAGAGATTGCTGCAGCCCATCAAGGCAACATGGAATTCTAAAGGTGTGAGTATTGTATCAGATGGATGGTCAGATGCTCAAAGGCGCCCACTCTTGAATTTCTTGGCTATGACGGAAGATGGTCTAATGTTTCTTAAAGCATTCAACACTGAAGGAATATCCAAGACCAAGGAATATATTTTAGAGAAGATGCTAGCTGTAATTGATGAGGTTGGGGCACAAATTGTTGTGCAAGTGATCACTGATAATGCTGCCAAATGCAGAGCTGCTGGTACCATTGTTGAGTAGAAGCACCCTTAGATTTTCTGGACCCCATGTGTCGTGCATACTCTGAACCTTGGCTTGAAGAACATATGTGCTCCTAGGGACATTGAGGATGAGCTTTATAATGAATTCCAATGGATCAGTGAGATCATTGGAGATGCTAGCAGTATAAAGAATTTCATCATGAATCACTCCATGAGGCTATCCATGTTCAATGAGTATAGCAAGCTTAAGTTCCTTGCCATTGCGGAGACAAGATTTGCCTCTGCTGTTGTGATGATGAAGAGGTTTGTGGCTATAAAAGATGCTCTTTTAGTGATGGTAGTGAGTGAAAAGTGGACTGCCTACAGGGAGGATAATCCTGGTCCGACCCAATTTGTGAAGGACAAGATTGTGAATGATGTGTGGTGGGATAAGGTGCGCTATTTCCTTAGTTTCACTGATCCTATCTATTCTATGATGCGGGCAGCTGATATTGACAAGCCATGCCTCCACTTGATATATGAAATGTGGGACACAATGATAGAGAAGGTGAAGAATGTGATATAAAATTATGAAGGGAAAGAGACACAAGAAGAATCCACCTTTTACTCAGCTGTGCAAGACATCTTGGTGAGCCGTTGGACAAAAAGCAATACCCCTTGCACTGCTTGGCACACTCACTAAATCTCAAGTACTATACTGAGGAATGGATCAATGAGGTTCCAAACCGACAAGCTCCCCACAATGATGAGGAGATTTCATAAATGAGAAATGCTTGTTTCAGGAGGAATTTTTCTAGTGAGGAATTAAAAAGGGTCAAGCAACAATATGCTAATTTCTCTTTGTTTGGACCTGGATTCAATTCATTTGATTCACTTGAGGATATAACTTATATGGATCCAAAGCAATGGTGGGGAATTCATGGTCATTCTGCTCCAGAACTGAAGAAGTTGGCATTTAGATTACTTGGCCAGCCAACATCATCTTCTTGTGCTGAGAGAAATTAGAGTACCTATGGCCTGATTCATAGTTCCTTGAGAAACAGGTTCTAGTTCGACCTTTTATTGCTGTTTTTTTAAATCTCAATTGTTTGACACATGTAGTTCGATTCCTAATTGCAAACTTGCAATTGACTTTGTAGGCTCAATCCTGCACGTGCTGAGGATCTAGTTTTCACACACCAGAACTTGCATCTTCTTTCTAGAAAAAATGAGGAATACAACCATGGTCCATCAGCAATGTGGGATATTGGAGCTGATACTTTTGAAGCTGATTTTGAGGGCGGTGCTGATTTCCTTGAGCATGCTGATTTGTCACTTGATGAGCCAGACCTTGAAAGAGTTCTTGAAGATCTTGGGGCACTAGGTCTGACTGAAGATGTTGGATCAAGTGACTGAAAGACTTCTTGATGATTGCCAATTTGTCATGGCCAGCTGCCGTTCATGCATAATCACTTTATCAATTATCGTTTTATCATTTCATCATGTAGTTATGTGTGTATGTTGAACCTAAGTTTGAATAATGGCTTGATGGCCTGAACGTTATGCCCTGAACAATATTATGTTATGTAATATTTATGGTCTATGCGCTAATTTCTAATTTTGGTGGATTTATTTTTTATTTTTTATATATATTGCTGTATCCCCATATCTGTATTTTGGAAAAATGGCGTATCGGAGTATCGCCGTATCACGTACCGGTATCCGTATCCACGTATCCGTGCATCATAGATTCTGGCCTCATGGCAACACCAGGTGGAAGATTAATTATATGGAAAAACAAACACTGGCCAGCAAGAATACGGAGCAGCCATGGGACCATATGGTGTGAAACCATTTGTTGCAATGCCTAGCTGCACGTTCCTTGCCTCTTCTGCAAACTCCAAAAAATCAACATCAAATTGTTGCCAAGCTTCACCATCACATGGGTGGTCCATTCTACCAGACATGGAGCGAAGAGATTCTTTGTGCCATCGCATCATTTTTGCTGTTGCCTCATGTGCATAGAGCCGTTGTAACCTATCTGTTATTGGCATATAGCGCAAGACTTTGCGCGGGACCTAATTTGAGCCATCCACATAGCGAGGGGTATCATAGAAGTCACATTTCTCTTTATGCTTGTTATCTTTATAATAAAGCATGCAGCTATTGTAACATACATGAATTTTTTCATATGGCATGCCCAGACCCTTTAGCAATTTTTTTGAATGGTAGAAATCCTTAGGCAAGTTACTATCAGCTGGTATGAGTTCATGGATGAGTGCCACAATGTCATCATAACACGCAATAGAGAGGTTGTGTTGTGACTTTATGGATAGCAACCTAGCAGTGACTGACAATGTTGAGTGGGTTGTTTTGTCATGAACTAATTGTTCTGCACTATCAATCATCCTATAGAAAGCTTGAGCATATTTTGTTGGTTCCTCATTACCTAGTGATGGTGCAGCTACAGCTAAGTCTGCCAACATATCATCCATTCTATCCGTCTCACCAAAACCCTCAATTCCTGGCTGCTGATAGCGCCTCTCACCATGTGCAGTCCAAGTTTTATAGTTGGACTTAAACCCATTTTGACATAAATGCAGCTCTACCTTGCCCCTTTTGTGCTGAAAATAATTCCTACACACAGCACAAGGGCATTTTATGGTACCCTCTTGTACTAGAGACTGATTAGAGAATGCAAAATCCAATAACTGATTTGTATGCTGAACCCAATCACATGTTGGTCTACCACGCTTCTAACCACTATACATCCAATCACGCTCATCCATAATTTAGTATTGCTGGCAACATTCACAAAGTGATATAATGAGGTGCCCAATACTATTTCCCAATTTTATATAGATATAGTTTCATATAAACAGCAAAACATATTGCCTTCTACATAGTTCTAATAAGCCTAAGTTCTAATCCATATATCATGTTTCTATTGCCTAACTAATTAGGACGCTCAGCTGGACTTTTTTCTATGTGAAATAAACAGACAATGGCCAACCAGAGCGAATTTCATATCTGTTCTGACACTAAACAGTGACAAAAATAAAAATTTAAGCTCATATCCATCAATACACAGTATTGGTAATTTTGTATGAAATAATACTATTTGCATATACATTAATATATATGTCATCAAGCACATATCTGACACTAGCTAACTGAGCATCATCACTGACAAGATTGCATAATAGCTTTAATTTGTATATAAGTTAACCAACTTTAAGCCTGATTGTTGTGTACATTTGCAGCAAACAACTAAATTATTCTAGAAATCACATTTATTGCTATACCACTGAGCATATATTGCACAATCATATAGCTGATATTTCACAATTCATGCCAATGATTCAGTATCCATAAAAAAATTGCAAGAGAAGAATCAAATCACCTCTCGCTGCAGGATCTCCTTCTCACGCTCTTGTGGCAGCAAATCTCCAACTCTTGTGGCAACTGGCAGGATTTAGGTCCGGATGCGATGCTCTTGGGGCGGTGGAGTGTGTTGTCGATGATTACGCGCTGCTTTTGGGGCCGTGGAGATGCGCTCGTGAATAGACGGGGTGTCGACGGGCGGGGCGCAGATGGAGGTGAAGGCCACGACGGCGGCGGGGCGCGGGCGGGGCTCGTGCGGAACCGGCCCCCGGGGGACGCGGCGTGAACGGAGGAGCCGGCCACAGGTGGCACGACGCGAAGGGAGGAGACGGCTGTGGGTGGCGCGGCACAGACGGAGGAGCCGACCACAGGTGGCGTGTCACGAAGAGAGGAGCCGGACGCGGGGGGCGTGGCACGGGCGGAGGATGACGGAAGTGGTGACGACTTTCGACGACGGGTCGACCGTTGGAGTACAGGAAGCCAAGTAAATGAGAAAGAGTTAAATGCACCGGAGGTCCATTAACTTATGAAGGGGTTTCGGTTAGGTCCATCAACTCTGAAAATTGATTTCTGGGTCCATAAACTTTCTAAGTCGTTCACCATAGGTCCAAACTAGTCTACGTGTGCATCTAGCAGTGACATGGCATGCTGACCGGACAACTCCCAAATGAGGCATTTCGTTGAGCAAGTCATGGATGTGAGAGAAGTAGCATGGTCACCAGCGTGGGCAGCAGGCTGCCATCGCACACGTACAACCCCTCCGCCTCCCAGCTCTCGCCGCGCCCATCCACGGCGCCGTCCTTCGGGCTAGACCCCATCCGGCAGCTGCCCATCTGGTGCGCCGAGCAATGGAGCGCCCACGTGTCAGGCCTTGGGAGCATGGGGCCTTTCCCTATGGTCACCTCGTTGAGGAACGCCTCTAGGTCCTCGTCGCGGAGGCCGACGTCGCACCGCAGCCGGAGCCCGTCGCTGCTGTGGGTGCCCACCTCGGCCGCTCCGGCGGCCACCAGGATGCGCAGCGCCTGGCACAGCCCGTTGCGGAGCTCCTCCACATCTTCCCGACTCAGGGCGCAGCGCACGCGGCCCTCCCCATCCACGTGCCCTGCGCCGCGGTCGCGGACCAGGGCGAAGGCGTGCGCGGTGCGCACGTACCGGAGCATGCGCTCCTTCATGTCGTGGCCGGACTCCCAGGGGATCAGCGAAGCCCAGCACCCGGGCCCCAGCGCCGGTGTCTGGATGATGGTGCGGGCGGTGACGCGGTGCATGGTCATGATGAGGCCGCCCTTGTAGCACTTGCCACTGAGCTCTGTGGCTGCCTTCGCCGTGCTGTCCGGGAAGTAGCCCCACGCCATAGACACCGGGTGCAGGTGAAGGTTTTGGCCGATGTGCCTGTTCTTGAGCCCGCTGTTGCGGAGGAGAGGCGGCGTCATGAGCGCGCCACACGCCGAGATGGAAACCTTGGCCTCTATGCGCAACTTTTTGGTGATGCCGTAGCTCATGCACGCCGCCACCAGGCCCACACACTTCTTGCTCCGGCTGTTCTCGCTGCCGGGGTTGCTCTTGAGTACAAAACGCTTGGCCTTGCAGCCTGTCAGTATGACCGCGCCGCCGGTCACCGCGAGCCGGCACCCGCCGTACTGGAACCCCTCCTCCCAGCACCCGCCGGTCACCGCGAGCTTGGTGCAGACCGCGTCCATGGCATGCACGTACTCCCGCCTCCCAAACATGGGGAGCCCATGCTCGCGCGCCCACTCCTGCGTGACCCACTCCGGCGTGCGGATACTGTCCGACCAGTTGATCACGGAGCCGCTGCCGACCGTGGTGCCCGTGAACATGATGGCCATCACGTTGGAGGTGCAGAAGATGCCTCCCTTCTTGTAGAGGCGCTACATGGACGGGCCCTCCACAGAGGTGTAGCTCTCGGCTGTGAAGTAGTCCCCCTTCTCGACGACGATGACCTTGTGCCCCGCAGCTGCTAGCATGGTGGCGGCCATGCCGCCTCCATAGCCGGAACCGACGATGATGACATCGCATTGCATAGTGTGGTGCGCGCCCGACACGTCCGCTTTCACCGCCAGTCCTCTCTCCGTGAGTGACCTGAGCAGCGTGGCATCATTCAGGGATCTGGTCTCCACGATGCCTCTGTCTAGTGGCCGCGGCGACGACGCTACTTCTGTTGGACCTTCTTCCCATGGCTTGCATGCTACTTCTCTCACATCGATGACTTGCTCGACGAAATGCCTCATTTGGGAGTTGTCCAGTCAGCATGCCATGTCATTGCTAGATGCACACATGGACTAGTTTGGACCTGTGGTGAATGACTTAGAAAGTTTATGGACCCATAAATCAACTGTCAGAGTTGATGGACCTAACCAAAACCCCTGCATACACAACTGGAGGTGCCCTCTTTGCCGAGGGCCCAGGGCACTCGGCAAAGGCCAAAAGCCCTCGGCAAAGAGCCCTCAGAAAAAAATTTAATGGCAAAGAGGCTCTTTGCCGAGGGCCATTTGTCGGGCACTCGGCAAAGCCTTTTCAGAGGGCCAACGACGACAGTTGGCAAAGAAAAGCAGCCATCAACGGCGCTGCTCCGTTGACGACGCCTTTGCCGAGTGCCGACAGTTAGGGCACTCGGCAAAGACATTTTTTATTTTTTTTTCAAAAACTCTTTGCCAAGTGACGCGGCGGCAAGGCACTCGGCAAAGACATTTTTTATTTTTTTTAAAAAACTCTTTCCCGAGTGCCACGGCGGCGCGCACTCGGCAAAGCCATTTTTTAATTTTTTTAAAAAGCTCTTTGCCGAGTGCCTCCCCAGCTTGGCACTCGGCAAAGATTTTTTGCTTTTTAAAAAAAAATCTTTGCCGAGTGCCAGGACATTGCACTCGGCAAATCAACCGAAATTGCAAATTTTTTTTGTTTTTTATATTCCACTGACACAAACAGTTCAAATATATATCACATGTCACATATATATCACAAACATCACAATAATCATATATATATATCACAACGAAACCATTTTCACACATTATATC